TAGTAGGGTGGACATACACCACATTGGAGCTCTCTATTTGCATAGGGCTTAAAGAATCACTAGGTGATTAACGTAGGTGCTTTGCGAAGCACTTAAATTAGTTAGACAACGCTCATATGCGCTTGTTCTAGGCTTAGTCTTAGTTGCTAGTGAGGTTTGCATACCTCTTAATCAAAGATGCTTGCGCGCACCATATTTGTAAGTCATGCGAGATCACACCAACCACGTTTGTGGTGTGGCCCCCACAGTATACCAGAGGGAACAAGGTCCGTGACATTTCGGCCGGAAGCTTGATAGTGAAGACGGCGGAGAGCGGTCCGGGAGAGGCTTGCTGGAAGGCACATCGGAGACCCACTTGTGCGTGAAGAATGCCCAAGGCTATCCACGGAGTTACCTGACCGGTAGCATTGCCCTTGCGAGGGGCTCCAACGAGGCGAAACCTTGCGTGCTTCTCGAAACCTCGGTAAAAACACCAGAGTCGTCGACGGGAGTTTGCATCTCTACCTCATCTTTAGTTTCTGCATTTATATTGCAATCTTGGTTGTGTGTTTTACCTTTCCTAGCTTAGTTGATAGACTAGTTGATAGAATTGGAACCTAGGTTGCATAATTCTTTTGCGGTAGAGATAACAACACACTAGCAAAACCGTAGTTACAAATTTATATAGTTTATCTTATTGCATATGTTTTATTAAGGATAAAAAAAGAACATGGTTAGAAATAGAATTTTAAGTTGTCTAATTCACCCTAGTCCTTACAAGAGCGACCGCCAAATCTCGACGCACTTGTCACGGAGGAAGGAGTGGCAATCGGATCAGGGCGCCCTCGTCGCAGAGGGTGGAGCATCCGCCAGATCTCGGCACGCTCGTCACAAAGGAAGGAGCGGCCGACGGATCTAGGTGCACTCTTGCAGAGGGTGGAGCAGCCGCCAGATCTCGACTCACTCATCGCGGGAGAGCCCCTACTCCACAGCTCGATCGCTGTCCTCCGGGGACAAGCGTGACGAAGGAGGGTGATGTGGCACAGCCAGCGACGATAGAGGAGGCGACGTAGGCGAAGGGAAAGGGCAGCGCGAGCAGTGGGATAGAAGAATCTGATATGATCTTTCTCACAGTCCCTGCTAGCCGCTTTCATGTTCGTGTGTAAACGACGTTGTGAAGGGAATCGCGGGAAAGGAAGCAGCGCTCGAAACACGCCGTTTGGAGGCCTTGAGCCGGGGGGGGGGGTCACCAGAATCTATTGCAAACAGGCTCCTGTCGCAATGTAAGCACCACTTGTCTGAATGCTGATGTCTCTCATGGCTCAAAGTTGAGAGTTCAGTTCAGAACTTGTCGGTTAGGCGTACGTGTGTGCCGTGGTATGACATGGCAGGCACACATGATGCGGACGCGCGCTGGTGCAAACCAAACCTGTCATGTGGATTGGTGGCATAGGGACCTGCCGCGTTAATTTAACTAAATCGAGTGTCATCCACTTGACCTACCCGATTTAAGCAAATCAACATCGGAGATCCCCACCTCTTTACTTTGAACTGCATCGATCAACTAAACCTCAGAGTCGGAGATCAAGCTCTCGAACAACACCTACAGGTTGATGGCGATGCTCTCCGAGTTTCTGCCCCAGAAGAACGACCTTGCAACCCTGTGTTGCTTGGGCGCCCCGGGCAATCGTCGTCATCGGTTTCATGGTCTTCTCTAAAAACAGACTTCCTTGGCGGTAGCGTTGCAAAATTGAAATGCAGCTTCCTAGCAACAACTGTCTGCAAACTAAACACAGAATGGAGTAAGCAAATAATGTTGGACTTCGATGGTGGAAGGAGTGGAAGGGTCAAAATGCTTACTAATTGGCTGATAGGTCTCGACACATGGACGAGCTAACCCAAATCTTTGTGGTTGTCCTTATACAAGACTTCAATAATTTTCAAGGCTTTGACCACTTGTGCACATGTGCTGCTTATTGTCGTTCGGTCAAAATCTGGCAGATTATTGAAGTCTTGTGCAAGGTCAACCACAATGATCTGAGTCAGCTCATCCATGTGTCGAGGCCAGTCAGCGAAGCAGTAAGCATTTAGACCCTTACACTCCTCTTCCACCATCGAAGTCCAACATTATTTGCTTACTCCATTCTATGTTTAATTTGGAGAAAGTTGTTGCCAGGAAGCTGCATATCAGTTTTGCAATGCCACCATCAGGGAAGTCCATTTTTAGAGAAGACTAAGAAACCGGCGACGACGACGACTGCCCCAAGGCACCCAAGCAACACAGGGTTGCAAGGTTGTGCTTCCAGGGCAAGAACCTGGAGAGCATTGCTGTCAGCCTGTCGACGTCGTTCGAGAGCTTGATATCTGACTCCGAGGTTTAGACGATCGATGCAGTTTCAAAATAAAGAGGTTTAATTTAGACGATGTAAATATATGGGCTATGGCATCAATCACAGGTTTAGTTTGGTGGTGTTGTGCGTTCACAGTAGTAGGGCCCAGATATGTAGTGTCTTCTTAGTTTGCTCAGGAGTCAGGAGTGTTTTTATTTCCTTCTTCCTTTAGTTGTGGCCCAGCTGTTAACGCTTCTTAGTTCCGGTCATGCCATTTCAACCAGAATCGATTCCCAATTACCATTATGTATCTGTCCAGTTTTACCACAGTAATGGTCAATTATGGTGGCTGATATGCTCAAGGTGATGACAACAGAAAGAAAGAGAGGCCACGGCAGCTATTCAGTACCTTGGATTTGCATTCATTACTTCACAACACGGTTCCTAATATCAATAGATAATTAGAAAAAGATGGTGTTATAGGAAGGCTGCTATACATCTTCGTTCTACCTTAGGCATGGCATGTTGGCACGGGAATAAGTGGAAGGCAAGAAAGTATTGCAATATCCTACTTCAAAGTGATCGATCATGTAGTGGACCGTGGCAACTCAAAACTATGACCTCTTTTTCTATTCTTAATAAAACATATGCAAAAGATAAATTATCTAAATGTACAACTACGGTTTTGCTAGTGTATTGCTATTTCTACCGCAAAAGAAGTTATGCAAACAATGTAAATGCGAAAGCTAAAGAGTAAGGTAGAGATATGCAAACTCCCATCAACGACTCCGATATTTTTATCGAGGTATCGAGAAGCGCGCAAGCTTCCCCTTAGTCCTCATTGGAGCCCCTCGCAAGGAATCCCTCGTAAGGGCCAAGCTCCCGATTGGGTAACTCCGTGGATAGCCCTAGGCCTTCCCCACGTGCAAGTGGGTCTCCGACGTGCCTTCCGACAAGCCTCTCCCGGATGCTCCCCACCGTCTTCACTATCAAAGCTTCCGGCCGAAATGTCGCGGGTCTTGTTCCCTTCGGTACACGGTGGCAGCCACACCACAAACGCGATTGGTGTGATCTCGCAAGACTACAAGCCCCTCCGATGTACAACAATGGTGCACGCAAGCACCGAGTGATAAAAGGTGTGCAAACCTATCTAAACACTAGGCCTAAACTTAGAGAAAGCGCATAAGTGATGGTCTAATCAACCTAAACACTTCACAAAGCACCTACGCTAATCACTTAATAAAACACTAAGCACTATATAAGTGGAGATCACTAAAATGGTGTATTGACACCCTTGGTATATTTCCTCAGCTCTCCTCTACTCAAATGGTCGGTTGTGGGGTCTATTTATAAGCCCCACCGAGAAAGTAGCCGTTGGGGACGAAACTCAGCTTTCTGCTAGTGATCGAACGCTGTTGTCGTCCTGTCCGGACGCGTCCGGTCGTCCCGACCATTAGAGCGCGCGCGTTGTGGCCCAGCTGTTAACGCTTCTTAGTTCCGGTCATGCCATTGCAACCAGAATCGATTCCCAATTACCATTATGTATCTGTCCAGTTTTACCACAGTAATGGTCAATTATGGTGGCTGATATGCTCAAGGTGATGACAACAGAAAGAATGAGAGGCCACGGCAGCTATTTAGTTACCTTGGATTTGCATTCATTACTTCACAACACGGTTCCTGACATCAATAGATAATTAGAAAAAGATGGTGTTATAGGAAGGCTGCCATACATCTTCGTTCTACCTAAGGCATGGTATGTTGGCACGGGAATAAGTGGAAGGCAAGAATGTATTGCAATATCCTACTTCTCAGTGATCGATCACTGTAAATTGTTGATATTGCTAGAGTAGCAAAAAAGATTAACTTAGTTGAGCCATTCAACTAAAACTAAATCAAACTAGACCTGATGAAATCTGAAAAGAGAAAAAAGTGAGGACACCATGGGGCGGATCTCCGCTGGAGAAAGATAATCCTATGATTTCTATCTCCACACATACAATATATGAACAAACATAACTGGAGATGTGATGAGCAGCCACCCACCAACCACTACAATATGATAATGCAATGAACAACAGGTCTTCCTGACGAAACTAATGTTGGTCAGGAGGCGGCCATGCTTTTTAGATAAAAACAATTTTCTTACAATAGCAAATATCTAGAACCAGAAGCCAGAAAATAAGTAGAAAAAAGAAAGGATCAGACTAAGGAGGCCAGCATTTAAATCGGGTTATATGGGCTAATAAAAATGGTATTATACATACCATGTAAAAAGAAATACGTATACTATCAGTGGTTGCAAGGGAATGATAGCCAAGGTTATATTTAGAAATAACCATGAGTCTACATAAGGGCAGACCCAATGCATACTTTACCATAGTTTTCATGTCTATTTATTATCCCTCTATTTATTAAAATTTGCTAATGTGGCACTGTATTTAATGAAGAAAGAGAGGGTAAAAACAAAAATCGATGTCTAAGATAGACTCCGAGTCTACGCGCGACACGAGGAGGAAGAAATCAGCGATATTTGCGTTGGAAGGACCAAGCTCGTTTCCATTTTTCCCCTGCAGATCCCGTGCGCCCGAGCCCCCACGCTGTGTCCGCCCAATGATCGCGTGCGTCCCACGGAGCCTCGCGCGCGGCCGCCAGCAGGACCTCACGCCGCCACAGAGCCAGGATGCGGACATGCTGCTGGCGCCGCTGTCCCTGGAGCGGTTGATCTGTCGGTGCGTTGCGCTCGGTGGCGGGAAGGACGAAGGAGATGCAGTCGCACAGCTTCCGCAAGCAGGCCACGTCGATGATTGTGCTGGCCGAGAAGGTGTTCCCGAGCATGTTCAGCTCCGTGATGAAGCTGCGACACCGGCGGCTGTGGACGGTGTACAGGTGTGACACATGTCGCAGCCGGATGAGGAGGCAGCTGCCTCCCAAGCCAATCCCATGGTGCTAGTCCAGATTCTCATGTACAACGAGAAGGAGGTCAATCCCATGGTGCTCATCGAGATTCCCATTTGTAGAAACGAGAAGGAGGTATGAAATTTAAGCACGAATGCTGGAGCAGAGGATCCGGGAAGGAGGTGGGATGAATGATTGTGAAGACTCCAGGATAAAAAGGTTGCATCGTGGAAGATAGTTTCTATGTTCTAGGACTCCATAGGGCCTGTTCGCTTGTCTGAATTCTAGAGGAATCTGGATGGTTTGGAGAAATGCTGGAGAAATTTGTGAGAGAAAAACACTGTTCCGAATGAAAAAAATAAGTGGATCAAGCCGGGTTTAAGGGCACGCGAACGGGGCCATGCCCTTAAACCCGGCTTGATCCGCTTATTTTTTTCATCCGGAATAGTGTTTTTTTCTCACAAATTCCTCCAGCATTCCTCCAAACCATCCAGATTACTCCAAAATTCAGACAAGCGAACAGACCCATAGAGTCCTAGAACATAGAAACTACTCCTAGTTTCTGCATTGTGTGTGCCCTAAGTGCATAACAGAGTTCCAAAATCTTAGGCTACAACAAAAATATATGAGTAAGGTACAACCAAAACACACATGATATCAGATATAGGAGTATAACTTAAAGAATTTTCAGGCCAAGCGGGTATAATTTGAGAGAGGCTAAAATACACAGATTTTGACTTAAGGCATAAGTGAGAGAAGACACAGCAAAGTTTTTTACGTATGGTACCAAATAGATTTATTTTGAGTTATCAGCATTCAGACAAAGCAAAACAACATACATGTCGGCAACATAAATGCAAAGCAAAGCAAAGTACAATAACTATATCGATAATGAAAAATTAGGCATTTAGTGAGCAATTGATTCGAGTGTTAGCATAAAGAAATAAACAAAGCATCACTTTGAACAAATTGCACGAATATAAATGAGAAACAGAGGGGAGAACAGTAGGATACCTAACCTGCTTCCATGCCCTCACGCTTGCCGAAGTCATTGGCCTTCTGCCATTCCTGCCCTAGAACCAACTCACGTACCCACGCACAGGAGCATCGATACATTAAGCTGCTAACTTAGCATGTAGAGATAAAGTTGAAGTTGTAAATAAATACTCACTGTTCACTCCTTTATGTAACATACTTATTTTAAGTAGCATTTCCTCCGTGAAGATATGAATTTTGTCATAGCATTATTCCTGTGTGCCATCCATATCATGAGGATGGCAGATTTTTCAAAAATGCCAAGGATGAGTCTTTGAAGTCCTGGAGCACAAAACTACTTCCAAGGGTATATCTGCTGTGAATGATGGGGCATTAGGTTGTCCACTATACATGACAATACTTGGGAGGGCTGTATAAAAGAAACTCAAAAATGCCAAGGAGATGGGTCTTTGAAGTCCTGGAGCACAAAACTACTTCCAAGGGTATATCTGCTGTGAATGATGGGGCATTAGGTTGTCCACTATACATGACAATACTTGGGAGGGCTGTATAAAAGAAACTGATTTGTTGACCTTTGTGTAGTCACCGGTTGCTTAAATCTCAATTCAATATTCCAATGTTTTTAACTTCCTTTAACATGTCATGCGGTGGTTGATGTATTAACAAAGAAGCGGGTAAATTAGTTCGAAAAAAAAACAGTAGGTAAAGAGTATTTTTAACGGAGAATTTTAGCCTTGCATTCATCAACAGTGAGCAATACAAGATCAATTTTACTCAAACACCGAACTTGAAAAAAGGCATAATCAGTTGATACTGAATGTAGTTCCAACTTGTAACAGGAAGACAATGGGTTAATTTCCTGGCCCACACCAATTCACTTAACCCATATTTTCTTTCCATAGTGCACTCGAAGCAACAATTTCAAAAGAAGCAATCAATTATAGATCAAAGCTTTAGAATATAGCTATTTAATTTGTTACATATATATTGCAGCGCATTGATTTATTTAAAAACATATGCAAAGAAGCCAATTAAGATCTATAACAGTTCTGATGCATCTAGAAATTAGATAATTTGCAGCATATGTACGTGGATAATTTGTAGCCACTCAAATGAGTATCTAGAGACCAGATATCAAATTTGGAGGGTCACATAGAAGTAATTTGTATTTACAAGCAAATAATTCTTGATTGCTAGGCTAAGTTCTTGGCACACAGTTAAATCATTAGGGACACCGTGATATGGTGGGTGTGTGGTGTGAGTTGTAACAGGGCTCTTGCCCAACTTTCTTCTTGTTAATACAATAAAGTGCAGTGTGTTTTGAGAAAAAAAAATTAGGGACACCGTGATTCTTTTCCAAACAAATAAATACAGACGAACAATTGTGAACCAAACAGATAAGTATCAGATCTACCATGTTTTTTACATTATATTGATGGCGTACTATTGTACTAATATTTACACAAACAACATATATATATATCAATTCTTATATTAGGGAAACTAAAAGACCGTGGCTTTACCAATTGGATTGGAAGCAAGCGACTAACTGGGATCAGATGGTGTCGCGCTTCGGCGCACAGGGCCTCAGGTAGGCTCCTCCAGGGGTCCTCACGATCTCCAACGTAGCTCCGGCGCGGCAGCATCATGGTCTGCTCCGGCTCCGGCGTCGATGGATCTGGATCTGCCAGCACGGACCACGCTGGCCTCACGGGCTCATGACATTGGGTGGCGACAGATGCGGCAGCCAGCGAAGCGGCCAGGGAGGTCGTGGTTATGGAGGAGTGGAGTGGAGGGTGGACGACTGGAGGGAGCAGGATCGGAGGAGGCGGAGGACCAACGGAGATGCGAGATTTACGGCAAAAGGAACACGCCATGCAAACTAATCATTTCCGTCAAAGCTGGTTGGTACAGGAACCAACGGAGATTTATGGCAAGAAGAACACGCTTTGTTTACGTTGGTTTTTATAAAAACATAGGATTAGATTTCTGTATAACTCGGTATTCTGAGTTTAAAGCATCTACAAGATTTCTCAATAATTTCTTTCCAAAATCATAAAATTTTCTAACTCGCCAAAAATTATTGAGCCATCTCCAACAGTTTTCAATAATTCATCTTTAGACCATCTGTAAGAGTCTTTCTAAATCTCACTCTCTGAATTATCACGTGGAGAATTATTTGCATAAAAGTCTCTTTATCTTTTCACCTTCCAATAATTTTTCTATATCTCACGCGCACTCTAGATAGCCATTTTAGTCTTCTATCTTTGACTAGCGAAAAATCCACGGTAGAAGATGACTATATTTGGATCTGTTGGATGGCAGTTTTCATCAAAATCTCTATTCCCAACATTTAGCAAGGATATAGAGAGCCTCTTAGAGATTCTTTTTGATTCTTTCTCTATTGTACATTTGCATTATGACACGAGCCTTTTTGAAAGTGCATCTAGCCCTTTAGTGGGTTTTGGTTGATTGAATGACAACGTGATTAAAGGACTAACCCGTTTGCTAAGTGTGAACAGGTAATAGGTTATCTCACAGGTACTTAATGAAAGCCAAAATGATGTGTTGTTGTATAAACAATCTAGTTCGAGCACAAGACAACAATGCAAATGGAATTCATGTGAAGGCTTATTTTTTGTGGGATTTCCATTGACTATGTGAAAGCAAGCTCATGATTATTAGTTAATGAGACATGAGGGATTGCATATGGAATGGTCTCATATTTGAAGCTTGCTAAATTAAAATGAAAAAGATAACAATACATATGAATGGATGATTCAACACAAGATGTGACTTGATGGCTTGAGATGGTGAAGATAGCAAGGAAAGGCTTCGAGGTACTAAGCAAGGGTGAAGGGCAAGCGACGGCTTGGCGGCCGAAGAACCTAGCTAGGGTGAAGAAGAAAGTACTTGCATTTAGTTGAGGTACTAATCAAGCTAAGATGGTCATATTGATGTGAAGAATCAAATCTATAATGAAGTATTTGATGGAAGTGACTTGATACATTTGGGGTTATTCAAATTTGATGAATGGAATCAAGTCACATGCTCAAGATGGCTATGCTCAAATGAAAAGATCAACATCAACTTGTTAGCACCCTTACTTGATGAAGATTGGAAGGGACGACATCAATTCAAAAGAAATCAACTCAAGTGGTATAAATTCATTTTTCTTTTGATCTTGAGTTTAATAGGTATGCCGTACTATTAAGAGGGATGCATCATGTTGATAGATAATGTTTCATAAGTGCTCAAGCCAACCCATGTGAGGTTTGATTATTTGAGCGACAAATGTGCTAACTGATTTCTTGCTGGTCTGGCAATACCGGACGTGTCCGGTATTCATACCGGACGTGTCCGGTATTTGTCCAGCAGCTGCAAAATTGTTGTTCTCGGGTTGCTTCGTCGGGAGTTCCGACGTAGGTCGGGAGTTCCGACGGTCGGGAGTCTCGGCATGAGTCGGGAGTTCCACGCCTCGCACTTCAACACACTTTGAGGTTTCATCGTGTCTGGTCATACCGGACGTGTCCGGTATTCACACCGGACGTGTCCGGTATGGATGACCAGAAGCCAACGGCTAGTTTTCAAAAGCCGTGAGGGTCGGGAGTTCCGACATGCGTCGGGAGTTCCGACACCTCACTAACTTTAACTCAGTTACATGTTTTTCAAAATTGCTGAGGGTCGGGGGTTCCGACTTGAGTCGGGAGTTCCGACGGTCGGAAGTCCCGGCATACTTCGGGAGTTCCGAGGCCTCACAACATCACTGTAACTTAGTTACCGTTGGTATAGATCGAGTCATACCGGACGATCCGGTATTGCAACGGCTATAAAACGGCTAGTTTTTCAAGGGGCTATAAATACCCCCAAGCCTCCACCTTTGGAGGCTGCTGATTCTACTGACTTAGACACACGTTTTTGAGCCTTGCCAACCCTCTCTTAGTGAGTGATTGATCAAACTTGCAAAATCAATTTGTGGGTTGAGTGAAATTCAAAAGAGA